CTAACAATGAGGAATACAAACCATCAGTAGTGCGTGCTTCCATGCAAAGAAGGAACCTGGGAAACCTTACGGTGGGAAATCCTTAACAATGCAGGCAGGAATAAAAGTTGTCGACTTCTAGACCGTAGATGTTGCGAATTTCTTGAAATAGTATTAATTAATTTGAGCACCGACTCAGACTGATTCATTATAAATTATTTTAAATAAACCCCAGCATGTCTAAGAAAGAATTGAAATAAGATTTTTTCTGAACGTTTAACTGTGTAAGTAAGCTACAGTTTCTTCTTCAGCAGAATTATTCTGAATTTTTATTAATCGATTGATAAAATCCGAAGAATTCTGCTGAATGTTCATAGATTTCTTTCTTTTAAAAAATATTTAAACTACGTGTAAAACTCTCATCTATAATTAACATCTGTAACCAATGTTGAAAAGCATTGAAATTTTACACGGTTGTGATTGGCTGTTTTGAATTTAAGAAAAAATGCCCTTAATATATATATATATATATATATGGATATTGTCTGTGAAAATTTATTCAGTTCACCTAATAATACCGGTTTCAGTATTTTGTGATTATCTTGTTGGCGTACTCTCTACTGGTTATACTCTACTGTCACACATAGAACAACTTTCATTATCATTACCGTCATCATCTTGTGTCTGGCCTTTTAAACAAACCAATAAATATTTGTTGATTTTCTCTTGCCTGAAATTTTTCGCCCAACTGACTGGCGCAGACCACTGAAGGTGAGTTATAAAGTCAGTAGTATTCTATATATATATATATAACAATAAATGTTACTTTTTCACCTCCCGTCAAATTCTTAAAACATCTCTCTTGAAAGCAAATAGACTAACTAGTAAGTGAGTAAGTAAGTAAGTAAGCAAGTTAGTGGGTGAGTGAGTGAGTGAGTGAGTTACTTAAGAAGGATACATAAAAAGGAGTTATAGGGCTGCTAGCTGAAATATTTGTTACTTGCTTGCTGATGACGATTGTACCAAGTTATTTTTGTACAGATTACCAGTAGACAGAGATTTCTTTGGACACGATACTTTCCTAAAAGGCAAAATTTGGGTTTTACTCAAGCTGTAATTGTATATATATATATATATTTCTAAGTGAATTGATTTCTTTATTTTATTTTTTATGGTGTTTAAGAAAAAGATTTTCCTTCTAGACAGGCAAAAACTTAAAACGTTTTCATTCTTCCTTTTTTCCTTCTTCTTTTACTTGTTTGGCAGAAATCAGGAACACTATGGATTAGTTTTTTTGCTATTATCATTATTATTATTACTATTCTCTAAACTATTCTCAAAGCAGAAATGGATACAAGTTACTGTTAGATATAGTAACTTGCTTGGGAGTGACTATGACTCGCTTAAGGTAGCTATATATGCCTTGTGTCCAAAAAGCGGGTATTGCATGCCTATGTGACGTCAAAATAAGTTGGTGTGTAAATGAGTGCGTGATATTTGTCCAAATAAGTAGTTACACATGTTACTGGCCTAATAGGCGTTTTACTTACTCACTAACAACCCATTGCTCATTTCAATGCATCACCTGTCACTTTAATGTGGGATCCCCATGTATTTGGTGATAGACTTGACACTCTAAGATCATTGTGTACTTTTCTAATTTTGTTGTCCCTCCAACACGCCTTGATTTGGCTATATTGTCACTGAGGATCATTCCAAGAGACGAGTTACACATGGCAGATGTCTTCACATGGTTACCGCCAGGGAAAACATACTGGGAAGCTGGGCTTAAGCTTAACCTAGGACCTGTCGTTAGCATCAACAATACTCATCATTTCTAGAAAACCGGCTTAATGTGATTTTCGAGGCATCGACGGATTGGAGATATCCATAACTTTGGGCGAGAGAGCTGAGAGCTTTTCCAACGTTGTGACTCACGATTAGCAGGTGGCTGGGGATGACTGGTAAGCCTGTAATGGGTTGTTCGGAGGTGCATTCGGATTTTTGTTTTTAATGATTTAAAACTTCCCACTGTGTAACATTAGGAAGACAATATTTTCAGCTAGAAAACGACTCTTTTCAACAATGAATTTATTATCAAACTGTGCACTTTTACCAATATGTATTTGGGTTTTCAGAAATTATATATGGTGAGGGAATTGAGTTATATATATATATATATATATATATATATATATATATATATTATAATTCATAAGATGCATAGATGTTGTTGAGAGGCTCACAGTATTACCCTATGAAAGCAAAATTTCCTGCGAGACAGTATTGATTCCTGAATGACGATGTTCGTAACGCAGTTTTTTTTATTTATTGTTCGTAATCGTGTTATCAAAAATTAGTAGGACAACTTCGAGTGGTTTACTTTATAGTTTACTTTACTCCTTGCTACTCCCTCCCTACCTCCACTCTGTCAGGCTACATTTTAAAACCCCTCATCTTATCCCATCATCCTAAATTTTATGCCTGTGTGTAATTCCATGAGGTCAGTGGTACAGCTCAACTATTCTCCACATGTCTTATCTTATTATTGGGGTAAACTACTCTATATGTTTCCAGGTTTTTGTTTGGATTGCTCCACTATTCTGATTGTCTGACTCACCCCCTTCTACCACTTCTACGTGGGCATTATTTCACCTGACACATATTTATTACAGCGGGGTATTAGATAACCTGAATTGCTGTATGCAATTGTCTCCACAGACAGGATACTTTAACCAACATAGCTTGTTTCAAAGTGAAATTGTGGGTAATTGAATGCCAGACACTTTTATTTCCGCCTGCATTGTTAAGAACTCTCCACCGTAAGCTTGAGGTTCCTTTTTTCCACATGGAAGAAGGCATTACTGATGATTTACGTTCCCAGTTGCTGGTTTTATCATCATTCTGCGTGTGTGTGTGTGTGTATGTTCTTCATGCCTTTAACCTTTATTATTGTTACCGTAAGTATTACTGCCACTATTGTTAATTTAGTTTTTACATTTTCCTGTATACGTTCTGATCGATTTATCAGGGTAATTGTTCATTAAATTTCAAGGCTTCTCTTATACGCCTCCCTCTCAGTCTTAGATTTTCCTTCGTACTACTTAGTTTTCGTATCCTAATATCTAAATATTTAACCAATCCTAATTTTACTGACATAGGATGGGAGGATCCGAAATTCAAATATCGGTATCAGTGTGTGGGTCTTCTGTAAACATTGGTGTTTAAACCTCTCATCTTCTTTCTTTCCTTTTCACGTTACAGTCTAACATCGGAATCTCTCCCATTGTTGACTTCCTAATTTATGAGTGAATCGAATCGACTCCATCTCCTTCCTAGTTGATGTTTCCAAAAAATCCGTTTATATTTTGTGTTCTTAGTACGTTGAATATGTCAGCAACAAGGCTCTATCATGGCTAAGTTTTTTACTGTGTGAGATATTTGATGAGCGTACAACCACAGTGTTGAAGTTTTACACATATATAAAAGATTCCTGCAATTTCTCAATAATAATTATAATAAATAATTTTTCCTTCACAATCCCAGTGGAACATAGGGCATCAAGCTAGTGGCTTGAATTTTCTGTAGCAGTGTTTATTTGACAGGATGAGGTTGCTAGCCTCATGCCCAACCTTTCCTCTTTACCAACATTATTTCTGGCTTAGCCAGGTAAAAAAGTGCGTGGGCGGCCGGGGATCGAACCCGGATCCTGTGCATGGTTGGTCAGAGTCCTAACCACTGTGCCACCGACGCACATGCAATTTCTCAAGCTGTAGAGAAAACCAATTCGGTAAAAACGAAGAAAAGAGTAATTCAACTTCAATTTTTCAAAATATAAATCTGAATTTTAAGAAATTTTTGTTCAACAAAATGGTTTTTTTAATATTTTATAACGCAAATGCCAAAAGTTGGAGCTACCTTTAATTACATGTTGAGGACATGAAGTAAGCAACTGATTATTGGATTATATTCGCCTGTGTGTGTGTGTGTGTGAGTCAGGAGGCCACTGCTAACATAATATTGAAATACTGGCAATCATTATGCCAAATCTTGTTTTGCAAATAAAAATTAGACGTTTTTATGCATTCTTTTACTGAAGACAGACGTTTCATTGAATGGTAATGAATTTTTAAGCATCCCTGTGAAAATCGGTTGCATAGATGACTTATTTTTGTTGCCTTGTTTAAAGGTCATGAAAAAAAGTAATACCAATGCAGTGATGAAATTTCTTCAGTATCGATCACATGTCACACAGGTCATATTAATTTGGACAGTTTACTATCATTATTGTTATTCCCTTGGTTTCCGAATGGAACATAGGGCTTCAACGACGCATCTTCACTTTATTCTATTCTCTGCTGTCCTATTCAGCTGCCTGACCTCCACGATTCCCCACAATCTCTCATCTCCCTCCTCCTCAAGCCACCTTCATGTCACCACATCACCGACCACCCACTCATCGTTTCACATTCACCCTCCACCCGAGTGATGGCCTGCATTGCGAGCCATGTCATTCGACAACCTCAGCCTTCTTCAACGTACGCCAAATCAATCCATCTCCATTTCCACCTACATATTTGTTGAGCAATCGGCTCTTGGTTGATTCGTTTACTGCCAGCCAGAGTTTCTTGTTGTTAATTGTTCCTGGCTGGCAAGGTAGCTGGCCATTCGATCTTTAATATGGAGCCAGCCAGCCAGCCAGAGAAGGTGGCAGCTATTGATAATAGTCTGCAGTTGCCTGTTGGAAATCCTTTTCTTGGAGTACATTCAGTGAAGGTTTTTGACCTAAATTGAAGCACTAACTGACTGACTGACTGTCTTCACATTGGTGTTTGAAATGCGAATCTTGTTGTTTATACTGCTGAATTGTTACAGAAGATTTCTCAAGTCATTTCAGGTTGATGAAGGCATATCTCGCGTTTTCTATTCTAGCTGGCTCGCTGGCTAGTGATTTTCACATCTTCATGCGTTCCGATTGCCTGTGGTTTAAACGATGCTGCAGCCTAGGCTAGGAAAGATAAATGAAGGAAGGAATTGACCTACCTCAACCTCTTTCCCCCCTTGATGGTGATTGTTGCTGCTTGTTGTTGCTGGTGTTGCTGTTGGTAGTGTTGATTGGTTGGTTGTCTTCATCACATCTATCTGAAAATTCCCTATCTTCATCACCTGGATGGAGTCAGTCCTGTCTTCGCTGCCAGCCAGCTAACCTCTTCAGCCAGTTTTTTGCCAGTTTTCGCCTCCCTGCAATTCTTGTAGTTTGTGTTTGTGTGACATTCAACGACATGAATCATCCACACATGAAATCCAGATCTTCTACAGTCTTGTTATATCGGTCACAGCAGTGTATTCCTCCCTATCTCCTCACGCATTCACCCCCAACACACAGCCTCACGCATAATGCAGTCTAGACCACCACAATTACGAATATCACCATGGGTGATAACAGTCAGGTAACTAGTAGTCCAGCTTGTCTTACTCCTGTATTCACTCACTTCGAAAGCAAGCTGCACTGAGTTTTCCATTGTGGATCACCTGACACTTGCAATTGTCAAATGGTCAGCCAACTGTTGAATGAATTTGATAAAGACGTGAGTACTACGCGCCGTAGTGTTGAGGTAGTTTCCACATTACTTTACTGCCAACACTGTCTGTCCAAGGCGTTTTAGAAGTCGATGTGAGAAGTTGAGGTGGGAAGAGGTTCGACTGTCATTGGATGCTTTGTTCTTTGATGATGTTGATGACAATGCTTAGAGTTGTAATTTGATAATCACATGATTTGCCTTTCTTGAATCCAACCAGCTTGTTCTGGTGGGTCTGTCAGAGTTCTGCATCAGGTGCACCTCTCACTCTCTCTCTCTCTCTCCAGGATGACGCGGCTTATTATGCTATTTGGCGTAGGTGGAAAACAACAGCATGACTGCACGCTAGTTATTGCAGAGTGAGGCGTAACTCGCGCTTCTGTGGTAACTTGACTAGGTAGCCAGCCTTTCTTGTAATGGGTAGACAACTTTCCTTTCTTCCTTACAAACCTTTTGCAATGATGGTGTCCGCATATCGGCCGCACTCATCAGCTCTGATTTCAGTGCTTTATACAAATTCTCACATCAATAATTTACTCTTTTAAGAAAGATTTCAAGCACTCTGTCTGTGTTGTATATTCTTAAACACAAGTACTATTCACTGAATAGGCCAACCAAAAAAAAATAAATAAATAAATAAGCATCTAAGCTTTTTAGAGAGGAGAAAACACATGTCAGATTTTTATCATCTTCAACTGGGAATAATTCTGTTCAAAACACACAAACAAACAAACACTCTCTCTCTCACACACACATACACGCATATTTCATCCTACAGATTGAAAGCGCGCCTTTTTTCCACTATCACACTACGAATTTTTTCGAATATTCTGAGGCAGAAAAAAATCACTCAAATAAATAGTATCCTGGGTATAGGCGCATAATGAGGTATGCGATTCAAACAGTAAAAATGAATAATGAAAGTGTCAAAACCAGAGAGTATGTGTTTGTCTGCCTATTATGCCATTCATATATGAGAGAAAAAGGAGTCTTCAGCTTCTTTTTCTATCTATCTAATTCAGAATAAATAAATGGACATCTTGAATTTTTTCTTTGAAATGTATAATCCATATATGCTTCTTGATCACAGAAAAGTAACTTGTAACACTGTTCTGCTTTTATGAAGACGCTTACAGTCTTTGATTAGTTGTAATGATAAGGATATTTTTGATAGGAACGAAAATGGCTTATGTTTTAAAAAAAAATAATATAATTTTAGATATTCAAAACTGGACAAACCAGAAAATCTAGGAATAATTATCGGATTGGTTTGCAGGCAAAGGAGTTGATCGTTTCCAGGGTTTCATCATGAGCTGATAACACTGGTTGGTTTGCGAATCACTGGAAAATCAGCGCAGGGGAATACTGAGAGGATAGCTGTTCCAGTTGTCCCAGTTTTGGGACTGTGCTTCAGAAGTACGCACCTATCAATGGGAAGAGGTTGTCGGTTTCAAACCAGGACTTTCCGGTTGCAGGGCCAACCAGCTTGTTGACCATTAGGCAGTTACTTGGACATGCTAGTCCAATGATTAGCCAGTCTAACTTCTGGCAATTCACGCATGATGTAGCACGACTGGTACTAGCCAATGTCAGCGGTGGCGAGTGCTTGTTCCCACACCAGCGACCTGCTGGACCGCATTAGTCACGAATTCATAATAATCATAGTAATTAAATAACTCTGAAAAGCTTCATGTTTAAGATTTCTATTCTCTTCAGAATTAGTAGTAGTAGTAATCTCCCATTAAGCTGTCTCCTATAGATTGTACTTACTATTATTATTATTTTTATCTTTTGTATTTGGTTGTTAGATGGGAAAATTAGGAACTGGTACTGATGGAAAAATCTATGATAGGATGAAAGACAGTCTTGTAGATTTATTTTCTACATGATTTTTCAAGACAATGTGCATATTTGGTGATTTCGACAGAAGTCATTAAGGATATCAATTTCACACCACATGACACTATTTTTGACCTATAGTTTGTGTTACTTAAAAAAAAGTAGTATGTTAATCTAATCATAAATGAACTTTATAAATGCAAGTAACAAATGTGCTACATATATCCCTTATACATGGAAGAGGGTATACTCCGGAAGCTTATTTCTTTAGAGTTAAGAAAATAACTTTCCAGGCAGAGACGTTGTTTCCCTCTGCAGTTCCGTAATTATTTTGTTTATTAGATATATATCACACACACAGACACAGAGTGAAAAAAATTTATTTTGCTGGATGACGAAGTTTCCAGCACAATTCATTTATTTATTTTCTATAATCACATCTTCAATTATAATCACACAGCTTCCTTCCTGCTCATCGTTGAAAGGCGAAGAAGGGTAGTAGAAATTTCCAGATGTCTGGATGGAAAGATGTTGAATTGCTTCTTTTACACGTATTCTTTTTCAATTGATTCGATCAATAAGGCCTCAGTTAGTTATCAGTCTCCCACTCACTCCCCTGCCACACTAACATTTTAAAACTGTCATCTTATCCCATCATCATTCCATCGTATACTTGTGTGTAGCTCCATGTGGTGCTATAGCTGAAAATGTAAAACTAAAATTAATAATAACGGTAATTATAGTGATAGTGATAATAATAATAATGACGACATGCATGCCAAACATGAATATGAATAATGACAACACACCAAAAAATGAAGAACATTAATTATCAGCAGTGTGTGCGTCCATAAAAAGAACGAACTTTGTAAAAACTTACGGCGGAGAATCCTTCGTAGAATGCTGAAGACAGTCAGTAGGGTGAATGGTGTCCCAGTGGACCACACCGTTAACGTCGTTGTCGATAGGCACTTGACTTCATGCAATAAATTTGCTAAAGAGATTTTGTCTGACTTGGAGCATCCACTTTACCTTTAGCTTCCTTTCACCTTGCATCTCCGCCTTAGGTAGAACAAGAAGTAACTTCAGAAAACTGTATGCTCGCACGTCTAAGTATAGAAATTCTATGATACCATACTTGGCACGTATTTTATGTGATGAGAATAGTGTCAGGCAAGAACTCACTAACCTTTTTTTTTCTAGAGCAACGTCCAATATAACTCGCCCCAGAAATGCCTTTGAATTGGTAGATACAATTTGAAGTGGCTAGCTAGTCTAGGTACTTCATCTTTCAGTCGAGGTAGTACCATCGACCTTGTAGAGAATAAGACGTGTAGTTCGCCGGCAGCATTAAAATTTCTTTGAACTCATTTTCTTAGTTTCCATGTAATGTGCGTCGGTGGCACAGTGGTTAGGACTCTCGCCGACCATGCACATGGTCCGGGGTTCGAGCCCACGCCGGCGCACACCTGATATCTATGGTCGGCCTGCGAAATTTGGGCTACCGATATCCATGCTGAAAATTCCATACTTGTACCAAAACTACAGTGTGGAATCAAGCTGTAAATCAAAAAAAAAAATTATCTCACTTGGTGTATCGACATGGAATCACAGTCGTATATAAAGAGGCTTCTTGTTCACAGATAATGAGTAGTCCTTTTCCGCCGCTTTCTTTGTCATGTGTTTCTTGATAAATTTTTCAGGATAGCTAGATATTTTCGATCAAAGTATCATATACAATGCTTACTTAATTGAACTTCAACTACCTCTTCTGAGCATATAGCTCTAACTCTGTGGCTGAGGATCTTCAGTGAATTTCTTTTGTACTTGATAGGAACGAAGCTGTGAAAATGTGTATATTGTTCTGTCCAAGTACTTTTTCTATGCAAGTTTCTTTTTTTATGCTACACCAAATTGTCAATTCACATGAGTTTAAATAAACCAGGTACAACAGTTTTTGTGAAATAAGAAGATGACACCATCAGTGTTTATTTCATTGCCTTCTCGTCAGCTGTTTACAGGCCAAAGACATTATTAAATATATCTACACAAACAGTTTTAACATACTTGCACAGAGTTCATTTTTAAACAAAAATCAATCAATAAATATATGCATACAATAATAATATATATAATAATAAAAACAATATTCCAAACAATAATAATCATATATAATAGAATGTTTCGGTGATACGCAGTCAGATTAAAGAGAGAGAGAGGGACAATGAAGACATCCAGTTACCAGACAGGGCAAAAACAAGACTTATAAGCACTTCTTTCTGAACATACAAGTCGGGTTTCAGGTGCCTGCTGGAGATTGCTTCGGTAGACTGGAGAAGAATTGAGCTGTTTTGCCTACTCATAACTTTGAACGATCTTGCAACATCCACTTCATGACCAGTGTTGAAGAGATGCCAGGCGATGGCATTGTTAAAGGGATTTGAAGACGTAGGCTTTTTCGTACACGTTCAGAAAATGGGAGATATGCCCTTCTTCTTATTTCTCTTCTGGCAAAGTAACTGCTTTGTCAGATACATATAAATTTGTATACACATTTCGAGTTGTTAACATGACAGAGGTGGGTATCTATCGACTTTTGATTGCGTCAAAATGGAGCATGTTGTCCAAGACACAGGAACCAGCTCACACCGATGAAGGATAGGCTCTGGTTAATGACGCAGTCAATATTCTGTTGACAATTGCTGTAGTATGAATGAAGGCAGGTTTCTTTTTCTCACTGTGATTTGTTTGACATTTGTGCCTTGCCATCTTCCACATGTTTTAATGAATCTCTGAGGGTAACCACTGTTTTTCAACATCTTTTCGAGAACTTTTGACTAGTACTCGTTTTGTAGCTGTTTGGACAAAAACTATAAAAATGTAGGTATTGTTTCTGTAAATTAACTTAATAATGGTTTTGGGCAGTAAGTAGCTGATGAGAAGCCGAATAAATAACCAATGGTGTTGAGTTGGGTGTCGATTAAATGGACAAAGATTCAGTAATCAGTCTCTCACTTTCCATCTCCACCTACCTATATTACTTTTCAGAAATCTAACCCTCTCTCCCCCCCATGCTATTGTATGGTTGTGTGTTAATGCTTACTGAGTAATTTTCTACGTTACTGGTTTTTGTAGGATCAGTAATTCTAAACTCAGCTAAATTCTCATGTTCTCACTGGAAATCTCACTATTCCTGCCTGATCTACTAGTTTGACTCACCTATATAGATAGTTGGCCTAACTCACAGTGATTCCAAAGGTATTTTGTAAATGACATTATTTTGTCTAATTGTTTCAACGCACAGGGTCCTTCAACCTACCTACAGAGCTTGTCCTATCTGAGTGAGTGAGTGAGTTTGAAGGTTTGAATGCCACCATCCTAATTCCTGCTTTATTGAGAATCCGACGTATGCAGGATATCAGATTTTCCCTCCCTCCTTAAATGTTAAAACTGTTGTAGACGGCATATATTCTCTCTTATTTACGTTTTTATGATTATCAGTTTAACCTTTATCTTTTACTTTGCTTTTGACCTTTGCTCATCTTCCTAATGAATTTTAAAGGATAGTTATTAAACACCATTCAGCCATTCTTTTATGTGTTTCACTTCATCGTCTAGGTCTTTACTGCTTAGTGCTATTACTTGGTTTGTTTGTCAGGCACTTAACTAAGCCTGCCTTAACACTTAACGGATGAGATAGATTAAAGTCTAAATATCTATTAGCCGAATGCGTTGGCTTTTTATAAACGCCATTGTGCACCTTGTTCTATTCGTTTTGTTTTACAATCTAACATCACAGCTAATTCTTCCTATTCATTTTCGGATTCAAATATGAATTTAATTCCTTCCACTAGTGATTTTATGTGTGTGTGTGAAGAAGCTAGAGAGATATATGTTCTGTTTTTAACATTGTGTGTGTGGAAGTATTATTCACATATCTCCACCATAATTTTGGAGTAGGATTAGTTGAATGTATTAAGAGCCATATTTTCCCAGCTGTCCATAAAGACATCTGCTACGATAGGGGATATTGGTGGTCTATCACATTGCTACACCTTCTGTTTGTCTGTATATTTCGCCCTGGAATTTGAAGATAGTAGGTGTGAGACAGCATAACCGAATTCCATAAATAATTTCCTCAAGAGTCAGCTTTGTCCTATAAGTACGTTCAGGATCTACAGTTAGTTCTCTTTCGACTGTTTCTAAGGCTGCCTGCCATATTGATTGACATATTAGTACAAAGTCTAGTTGTATCCAAACTAAACTTTTCTTTCATTATTCTCTGTTTGAATGTCATTTAGTTTCTCTTTCTTAGCATATAAAATAAATAAGTTGGCCTTAATTAATATATGTGTAAAACTTTGGCACTGTGGTAGTAAGTAATTCCATATTTGTTTGTTTATTAGATGTATCACACAGTCAGTGAGTGAAACAGTATTAGTATGTTTACTGGGTGACGTTTCAAACACGAAGTCACGTGGTTATAAATGATGAAATGATTATGAACAACAATAGATTTTGTTTGAAACGTCATCCAGCAAATAATACTGTTTCACTCTGTGTGTGTGTGTGTGTGATACATCTAATAAACAAACTAATGTGGAATTAGTCAGCCCCAGAGTTTGAACGATTTCTAATGCGACATTGATATTCTTCTATCAATCATTATTGATTGTGTAGATTTACCAACTTTTTGGCCATTATTAGTTCAAGAGTCCGAAGAAGATGAGATTAAACCAAGCAGTACTCTGATATCTCTTCCATCTAGTTAATCGATCACCTGTGTTTTTCAATCTAAATACCTTTGAAAATCATACAAAAATTGATCTATCAATTAAATACTCTACTGTTTATTTCTTTTTTAGTAAATTTGTGAAGGGTAATCACTTCAAGATGGCTGCAGATGGCAAAAAACAATTATCCGAAGAAGCGAAATCTTTTATAAAGAATGTGGAGGGATTCGATTTCATAAGACTCAGTATCCCTGATGTAAATGGAATGCATCTCAGTAAACTGGTGCCTAAACGTTTGGCTGGTAAAATTGCATCAGGCGATTGTGAATTATATTCAGGCACAATAGCCTTTGGACCAAGATTTGAAGTAAAACCAAAATTTTATATATATATATATACATATTAAGATTTAGTAAATTATTTATTCAAGTTTTAGTTTGCAAAGATTTAATTGATTAGTTACAGGATTTCATCAAAAGCTGACATTGTTTAGCGAACTATTGGAAGAACTGTGAGTACTGGAAAGCTGTTCCGTCAGCCTAGTTTGAGACCATTTAGTAGGGGGTTCGAACCCAGGACCTTCCATTTACAAGGCGAACTTGTAGACATGTGGTGAGAGCTGGCTGTTAGCCAAAATTGGCAAATAGTTATTTATGTCAATGTGTACCTCACCAATATTTGGTCATGTGCTGATCTCCTGAATAAAGTATCTGTTGACTGGCCTTTGTCTTCTGTTGTTATATTTGGTGTCGCTGCCTACCGACAATAGGAAAGCCTATGCCAAGCAGTTTTTGATCGAGACATATGGATCTCCGGGCAGGACTTCGAGGCTTCTGTACAGTTGAGTGGAGTTCAAGGTCTGCCAGCGATGAGGCTGTTACTTAAGACGCTGCTTGGAGGTAGGGAGAAAGCAGCATATGATTATAATATGAGGTGAAATACCGACGAATGTTCGACAGGGTCAGGCTAACAGTTTCCAAAGTGGTGGAAGAACCGCATATGGTCACTTTGAGATGGAGTTGCGCAGACACAATCGCAATGGTGAACAAAGAGAGACAGGTGAACATCAGCAAGTGCCGAGGTTCCAGACAGCAACACAAACGAGTGTAGCCCCTTGAACCAAGAAGACAGAACCAACTTCAGTCGCAAGTCTTTGATGGGGGAAAGAGTGTAGTGAGAGCTGGCTGACAGCCAAAATTAGGAGATGGTTATTTATGTCAATGTGTACGTCCCCAATATTTGGCCATGTGTTGATTTTCTAAATAAACGATCTGTTGCCTGGCTCTTGTCTTCTGTTATCACAGATAATTAAGCCACTGGGACCCGAACTGGTGGCCCAATGGTCTACAAGCTCCTCTTGTAAATGGAAGGTCGTGGGTGCTAACCCCCTGCTAAAGGGTCTCAAAAGAGACTCATGAAACAGCTGTCCAGAACTCACAGTTTTTCAAATGGGTCTCTGACTAGGGTGAGCTCCTGATGAAATCCTGTAACGCATTATCTATTGTCAATCTAGTAATTCTTCTGCTTGCTTTAGACTTAGAAATCTAAACAGGATGTGTCTGACATGACTAACTTTTAAAGCGTTTAAAATACTTGAAGTATTTCGCTTACACGTCAAAAACTTCACTTACTCTAACCATTTATTTAGAGTCTTGTATAGATGCCCTACCACCAAGTTGCAAATGCACACAGAACATTTCAAGTGTTATATTTTTCGAATAAAATAAATTGTTATAAACTACAAAAATTTCAAACAACTTTGATTAGCAAGTAATGAAATGACAGCTGCTTCGCCCTAGCTTCAGACTCTTCAGCAAGAAGTACCCCGTGGTCCCAGTGGGAATCGAACCAAGATTACAAGATGATCCCTGCTGACAAATCAGCAAGTCAGTAGGACAACCCTAACCTAATTCTAGTGAGAAATTTTGCGACCAGTGGGGCCTATCAATTCCGATGTGTGGACATGTACAGTATGATGAAATTGACTGGTAATCACACCATATACATATATTGTGAATCAGCAGAAGTTAGAATTAATAAGACAGTTAAGCCGATCGCACTAATAGTGAGGCTCAGAGAACAAAGATTACAGGTGCAGATAGAATACAGCTATCTGACATTTAAAATATAACAAAATAAAACAATGAGCTGATCATTTCAAAGCAGTGTTGTAACGACTGTCCTCTGCAACCTGGCCAGAAATGACACCACAAGTAACACGCCCAGAACTGCCTACCAGTGGACACCAGTCCTCCAAAGAAAGCAGATATCTTCAGTGTGATCAGGCTACTGAAGTCCAGTCGGGAAGCCAGCAGGAACAGACAGCACTCCCCCCCCAGAAGCATTGAAAACAGCACAGAGACTGCGGCAAATATGCTGACACCATTATTGAAAACGGTTTGGAAGGAAGAAAAGAAGGTTGTCTATCCATTATAAGAAAGGCTGGCTACCTAGTCAAGTTACCACGAGGATGAAGTGGACTACTGAGCAGTGCATACGTCCTTGGTTTGACAGCTAGCCAGCCATCAAGCCGACCAGATATCGTGTCTACTGAGCCTGGAACCAGATGGATTCAGGAAAGGCGAATCATGTGCTGATCAAATTGCAACTTTGCATGTTAGACTGTGCTTGGCTATCACTGTAAGCTAGGTAGAAGTGAACATACTAACAGCTTTTGAAACACTCAAACATCCTCTGAAAGTAAATAAAAATGGAATTTTATTTTTCACCGTCACCGACACATGATAAAAGTAGTAATAGCTGGTTATTAGCAAATAAACTTCGTGTCATAGCTAAACAATAATGATAATAATAATAATAACTGACAGTATGCAGGACGAAATGTGTTCAGCGCTATTTAAGCAAAATATATGCAAGAGTGAAGAATTGACACTCCACAATCAAATAACGCAGAATCAAACAATCAGATGACTGATCAGCATTACAAAGGGAATGCTATTCATAGTCTTCGTTGCAAGTTTCACCTAGATTTGGTTTTTGACTTCTACTGTGTGGAAAGTGGGCCGATAATATGGAGGACTAGAACATGCATATGTGAAGAGATAGTATAGCTGAGCTATTGGTGGTTATGCTTTAAGATGTAACCCGCGTTCTAGAAAGAAGTCTTTAGGACTTGGTAAGTTGTACATTGTGGTGATTTTTCGAATACTTTCCTCTCGAAATCGAAACTCTCGCTTAGTATCGCTTGTATGCTTTAACTGCCCACCGAAGCGACCAGTATCTGCCATAGTTGCAGAAAGAGAGAATACTAAAGTGTGAATGGTGTCGTGAGTGGTATTAGCACTGTTGAGACATTGTATCCCAAAATATCCACGGAATTGCTTCTGTAGTTGAGGAAGTTACTGTCGTTGTTCATACTGACGAAACGGAAATTATTAAGCGAAAAATTAATCGCGATAGGAGAAAAGCAAATCATATGTAGGGTGCTGGGACTGTGTGACATAAACCTTCGAAAAGTGTTTGTAGAAAGTATTCCAGACAGAAGTGCTGATGTTTTAGTATCGATAATACAATGACTGGCTTTCCTACACACCACCTTTCACAGTGATGAGTGGAGAGGTTATTCGTAATTATCATCACTAGGCTCTATTCACCATAAGACGATCATTCTTCTGAATCCGTGGATTTTATAAGTGGAACCAATACAAATTCTAGTGAAGGATTCTGGGCCTATCCTCAGTAAAAGCGTTGCTGACAGTTACTCGCCCTGAAATTTGCTGGCTGTTGGGTTGCAAAAAATATCACAAATAGGCAGAAGTTGAAATTCATGGACTAGACACTGGATGGGGTCTTAGTGGCCTAATAGTCTACGAGCTTACTGGCCTTGTAACCGGGAGGTATCGGGTTCGAACCCTCTCTGGTGCTTGCATACTGACGAAAAGTCTCACTCTAGAACTAATCCCTAAAGGGGGGATCAAACTAGGATCCTAACTGGCTAAATAGCGACTTGGGCTGCGGAACACAGTGGCTCGGGAATTTCATACATTTTTCACCCTGCATGGATTTGAATAAATCAAGAACAACGGTGGAAGTTTTGCAGAATAAGAAGATCGCACCATCATTGTTTATTTCGTTCGTTGACCTCTCATCAGCTCAGCTGAGCAGAGACTAAATAAATTATTATTATACTTATGTACAGAAAGAGTTTTAACATACATACAAATTTTACAGGATGTCAGTTAGTGGCAGGAGGTTCCAGACTCAGTGAACACTGCTCAGAAAATTACACCTTTAAAGTTTTTTACATAGGTGGTTCAACTTTAAACCATGGTAAGTGAGTTAAGTTGGGAAGGCGAGAGATGTGTAAGATGATGAGTAACTAATAAATTGGTTAACAATGGCAAAATCTTTCAAAACTATCGATAAGCAAAAAGACTCAATTTCCATCAAGTTCGCTGCGGCAATATCTATCAAACACTTGAAACCCAATTTATGTGTTCAGGAAGAGGTGCTGCCTGGTAACTGGCTGTCTTTACTGTCCATCTCTTTCATTTGATTAAGTAATCTTCAGTTTAATCACACGCCACCCCAGTATTGGCATAGTGTAATTTTGCTTGTCTGATGTTTCAATGATCTGAGTAGAACTCAGTACATTGCTGTCCGATTTATTAGTTACCAATCCCCATCATCTCACGCACCTCTCGTCTTTATCACGTAACTGCTTTAACATTGTATACATACATTTATTTTGTTTAAACTTGAACTCCCTGTGTAATAATGTATACAAGAGTAATTTTCTGAGCAGTGTTCATTAAGTTTGGAGTCTTCTGTCACTATCTGATATCCTGTAAAATTCGCAAGTATGTTAATACTGTCTCTGTACATAAAATAAATAATAATAATAATTTATTTAGTCCCTGCTCAGCTGAGCTGATGAGAGGTCAACAGACGAAATAAACAATGATGGTGCGATCTTCTTATTCTGCAAAAACCTCCACCGTCGCTTTTGCTTTATTCAAATTCACGTTTATTACATGGATAACTTATAAACACACTTTAAAAAAAAAAAATAAAAACAATGCCAGTTTTCTCCGGGAATTATCTGATACGGCTGTTCCAAGGTAATTTGACTTTAGTGTTTATTCCTTACTGTTTGATCGATGCAACAGAAACACGCCTTTGACAACTCGAAAATCACATATCTCAACAACAGCATTTCTCTTTTGAACTGACAGAGACAGAAGGTAGCTTATTTGACGACTATATGTCCGACGTGATAAAGAAGGTGTCTGTGGATGTATGAGTCAACATATTGAAAAGTTGTTAGCCAACTGAATGTTAAATGAAGTTCTCGGATACACCGGTGAAATACGTGTTTAATTATTCTAATATAACTCTGTCTGATTATGTAGATGCAAACGCTGTCTATCTCTTGGTCCTACGTTTTGTACTAATTCATGCAGAGTTGACGAACTCGATATAAAGGTGCAGTTCCAAAATTTTCTTTAATGTTGTGAAAATATATCTTATACTCAAGTATTGGTTTGTAGGGATCTGATTGATCGGTTACAGGTTTCTAGTGAGCATCTCATTGATATTCAAGTGTTGGTTTGTAGCAACTGGTCCGATTCAGATAGGTAGTTACCTGAGGTTTCTAGTGGGAAGTCCTGACCAGTAGGGCGCGGCAGGTCGGGTATGACGACAAATACTTGCCGAAGACGTTGGCTAGAGGTCGTGCTGTATCGTGAATCGGCAGAAGTTAGAATTCATGGGCCATTGGATCGGGTTCCAGTGGCCTAATGGTCTACGAGCTCGCTCACTGGCCTTGTAACCAGAAGGTCCTGGGCTTGAACTCTGTCGGTGGGGTGGGTGAGTACTGATGAAGAGTCCCGAACGAAGGCGAAACAGCTTTTCACTACCCCAAGGTTTTCCAATGGTTCTCTAACCGATATCTTCCACTAATATGAGTTTCCAGACCGTAGATTCTAAGATCTCGCCGGAATAATTTGGACACCGAGTCAGATTGAATGATTATAAATTATTTAAAATAATTTTAGTGGGTTTTAGAAAAAATCGAAACAAGATTTTTGAAAACGTTTCGTTATGTAAGCCACCACACCGCCTTCTTCAGAAGTCGAATTACCCGGATTTGATTAACTATCAGATTATATAGTCAGAAAAAATTATGTAAATTGAAGTAAGTCCACAGTGTTTTTGTTCAGCGCAGAAATTTCTTTTCAACGACTTCATTTTCAAGCTGTGCAGTTGTATTTATTAATGATACAATGACGTGTAAACTATTGAAATATAATTATACTTTATTTGATCTAATCCACAATGCTCAAACTTTTTAGTGATATTAAGCCGTATTTATATTACAGAAAAAGTTATTAAGTGGCACTAAATAATTACTCAGTCAATATACATATATAAGTGATAAGAACAACGATAATTGCAATTTGAATAAGGCATTTAGAAGACAAATTTCGCGAGATGATATCATCATTTCGTGGTTTCTTTACAACCGCTTTACAACTAACACGGTTAACAATAATAAAATAAAGTTCATTACAATTGCTCAGTTATATAAAAAGAGTACATACTAATGACCAATCATAATTAAAATGTGATAAGGGGTAGAGTTTAGGTGGATGAATTATAAAATTATTAAGGATTGTTTTATAAATGAATTGATACCAAAATGCCAACCGTTGTCTAAAAATTTTAAAAAATTAGGAGTACGACTACAGTAAGAATAAAGATGTGAAGTGAAGTGGAATGAATTCAAGTGGTAAAATAAAATAAAATAAAAACTAGAAAGAACATTAATTACTATGACCAAGGTAAATAAAGGAGTATGACAAAACGTTTTTGAACAAATAATTTAGGTTTCTGTTCATGTATAGCTAAAGCTTCGGCTAGCTATGCATAAGTGAAGAAAATGTAAACTTTTGGATCGATTCGACTTTCCCATGTAGATAACCTTGAAGGATGAATCACATTGAGCTGAATGACCAGACTTTAACAGATGATCACAAATAGACAACTTCTCAGTTCTACGTTCGTCTTTCATTAACCAAACTGGATAGTGTTCAGCTACGCTTACAACGTCCAATATAATCAGCTCCACAGAAGCAGGTAAATGAGTAAATGCACATCGATGTGCACATAAGCGGTAGTCTATCCTTGACGCATTGTCTAATCATATTTCGGCTGGTGAAAACTAGATGTAAGTCAGCTGCAGAAAAAGTGCATTTAATACATTTAGATAAACGATTTTTGATCAATTGAGAAATGGTGTCACCTTCGAATGCAAGACTAATATGTGTTGAATGAAATCCTCCTCCTAGAATTTTGACATTGTCGAAATCAATCTTATGTCCACTGTCCATAGATAACATGCATCAATTGCTATACCGATCTTTTCTCTAGACTTTTTAATTCTACTTCATTTCTTGGTGGGGGTTTCGTGCATAGTCTGTGTTCAGTCGCTTTGGCCTTCACCTGTATACTGCTCTCCCCATATATAGCAAGCTTCTTACTCTGAACGCCTTATCCTACAGACAGTTACTTTGTGACATTTTGATGCTGAAATACACTATAATGTTATATGAAGCAAGTGGTCTTTGAAGTTATTCACTTGGATGCATCCTTCCCATATGGAATGTCTGTAGTCAATAGGCAGCCAAGGTTTTTTTACAACTTTTTTCCTGTTTTCCTTTGTGGTCCTTTTTACTGATCGATAATACTGTAATATTATAATATCTTATCGTGTCTGTATATATTTTTTTGTAGAAAAAGATTTTCGGTTTCACATTAGTGTGATCAGATATTTTCAATTGTAGATGGTTAACATCCCTGAAATACTTCAAAAGAAACATTTAAACAATCTCCTAAAACCGGATTTTTCAACTTTACACCCGTGTAATTGGGGTTCACAGAGTAGAATTCTTCGTACACAAGCAGATGCCAAGTTCAATTCAAATAGAGAAGAAAATAAACACCGATATAGTGTTTGTTCTATTCTATGTGATTTAGTTTGGCCAGACAATCAACCAATGATGGCTTATCCAAGAACCGTTGCTCAGCGACTAATCAAAGAACTGGAAGAAAGGCATCACTTACGCCTATTCTCAGCTTTTGAACCAGAATTTCGAGCTTTTATGAAAGGATCTATTGAAGAGTCCTTTTTAAAGCCGAAATCAGCTAATTGTGGACAGCATGTCGTTAAACCGCCTGTACCGTACACCTCACCGATTAACATGTATCCAACAAGTCTACTGGCTGTCTATGAAGATTATTTTGCTGATATTGATTATAATATGCAGTTGGCTAAAATCGATATACAAGATTATAGTAATGAAGACGGTGAAGGGCTTTTAGAATCTCCTTTGATGCCGACCTGGGGACTGTCAGCTGCTGATAATTATTTTATATTTAAGCAAGCTGCAAAAGAAATAGGCTTAAAGCATGAGATGGCAATTTCATTTATGACTATGCCAATGTTAAACAGCAGTGCAAGTGGTTGTCATTATAATCATTCCTTGTGGCATGCTGACAGCAATCGTAATGCCTTTTACGATAGTAAAGGTAAGTAATATTTACTTCTTTGTACTATTCATTATTGAAGTCCTTCAAATGAACAACATATATATATATTATTGTTTCCTTGGGCTCCTAGTGGAACACAGGGCTTCAACTGCACGTCTTTACTTGCTTCTGTCTTCTGCTGTACTTCTCACCTGAATCTATCCATATTAGTTCATACTATTTCAGTTCATCTTCACATCATCCCTTCCATGTCACCCTTGCATTGACGTCCCAAGCGCCGCGTGCTTCCCTTTCGGCCTTGTTCCACTCGAGCAGTGGCCTGACGCGCGCGATGTCACCCAGCGGTAGCCTCCTCAGCGAGCGAGTGTCCAATCCATCTCAACTTTCTCCTGAATATTTGCTTTTGTTGAGCGATTGGTTCTTGTTTCGTTTGTTCCCATAGTTTCTTGTTGGTGATTCTTTCTGGCCCCCTGGCCATCTGATCTTCAGTATAGATTCAGCGAAGACAGTTAGTTGTTGATAAAGGTAACGTCTGCAACAGGCTGTTGGTGGAAATATTCTTTGTGACCCACCCGCCAACCTTTCTGATCCGTTCTATGCAGAAGAACTGACTGACTTGACGTGTTTGTATTGAAAATCCGACTGACGGAATTTTGTTGTTGATTCTGGCTGAGTGACGATGATTTCCAGATTGGTTTCAGGTTGATGAATGAGCGTGTTTCTCGCCTTCTCGATTCTCGCTCGATTTGACATCCTCGTCCGTTCCGACTTCCTGTAGTTGAGACAATGCTCCCTAGATAAGTGAATTAAGTAACCTCTTTCAAATCCCTCCCGTTGATGGTGATTGGCGCTGGATGTTCCTGCTGTTGTTGTTGGTTGGTCGGTTGGTTATTTTCATAACCTCCGTCTTGTCTGTGTTCACCTGCAGTCCTGTCTTCGCCGGCTGCTTCTTCGACCAGTCTGTCGGCTTTCGCTTGCCTGTAGGTCTTCGATTTTGTGTGACATCAAGCAAAAATCATCCACTCGTGAAATCCAGGTCTTCTAGGTTCTTCACGTCGGTCCAGGATATCCCTCCTTGCCTTCTCGTTTCCCACTGTCTGACGTATAGTCCAGTCAGCCGACCACAATTAAGAATATCATTGGTGATAATAACTCAGCACCCTTGTTTGACTCCTGTGTTTACTCCAAACGCCTCGCTGAGTTTCCCGTTGTTGTGCCGTTGTTGTACAGCTGTTGAATAAGATTGAACATTTTGGCGCTACACGCCGTAGTACTCGAGTAATTTACAAATTACTTCTCGGTCAACGCTGTCGAAGGCCATATCAAAGTCTATAAAGTTGAGGTACAGGTTTGATACATATATGTTCCTAATGCTGAGTTATAAGAACAAGAGGATGTATATATATATATATATATATGGTGAGAGCTGGCTGCTAGCCAAATTGGTGGACATTAATTTACATCAATGTGTATGACCGAAATATTGGTCTAGAGAAAATACGAACAAAGACTGATTCAACAATCAATCACAGCATACTTTGCGTAGGCGGATACAGTTAACATATAGATGACCTGACATTCAAGAAACAGTCACAAAGAGATGCAAGATCAACTTTCTGTGAGAAACAACCATTCAGAAGACTGTGTTTTTTTCTTGAATAAGCTATAATAATGTACATGAAATAAATATAAATACGTGTTGATTTCCTTAATAAACGATCTGTTCCCTTGCCCTTGTCTTCTGTTGTTACAGATTTATAATTGTAGAGCCTGAAGAATAATTTATTGTAAACAACTGTCCGCTCTGAATATCTTTTTCTGAACAATCACAATGCTTAGTAATTTCCCCGCTTTTATTACATCATCTCGATTCTTCCCCCTTTTTTCTAATTCCCAGTTAGTCATCCTGTCTAGACTACACCTTACATTACGTAATACGTTTTTGAGGACAAATTTTATCAGTATCTGATTGGCCGTCTTACTAACCATTTGTTAAATAATAATCACGATTTAAATATAATGGAGATTTTCAGGTATTGGTTTTGTAAGAATTTCGTTTTTGGTTGGTTGGTGGATTTCATTATGAGTTGACATGAGTTATAGAACCCTTGAAAAACCTGTGAGTACTGGACAGCTGTTTCACTCTAGTTTTGGACTTCTCTTCAGCACCCACCCAGGATTTCCAATGGTTCTGTAACTGATGTCAGTTCACGATGAAATCCTCCAACCAAAATAATAGAGATTTATAGATCAACTAGAGGATTTTGATGTAGTTGTGTTCTCTGAGCTGAATGGTTAATTTTGCGAAGCTTTTATTTGCCCTACTAGGCAGCATCCTTGGTGCATCCTTCAGTTTTGATTGATGTGAACTTTTAAATTTCTTAACGAGTTTATTAGTCATCTCTCCTGATGGATAACTTTGAACGTGGTTGGTTGGCTGCAGTTAAAAGAAAAGAGTTGGACAAGACTCACAACCTAATGAACGATGTCTTCAAAGACATCATGTTCACAAGAGGAGAGGAATCCGTGGACAAAATCCCATTTCTGGACGCCTTAGTCAAGCGAACGACCACAGGAAAATTAGAAACTTAAGTTTATAGAAAATCAGGTCGCACAAACCAATTACTCAATTACAACAGCAACCGCTCAAAAATGCACAAAAGGAGTTGTATACATACATTATTCAAGGGAGACATGACTCATTGCAACACTCCTACCTTGAGGAAAATTGAAGAAATCTGTCTCATGGACGCCTTCCAAAAGAATAGATATCCACGGAACTTCATCACAAGAAATATGCCCAAAGGTCAGCCAACCAACTAAATCAAAGGATGCCAGGGAAAACACAAAGGAAATCGCCCTACCGTATATAAAAGACATCTCAGAAATCGATGTAAGACTCTTCAAACCTTTAGGAATTGACATCACACACAAACCAACAAAATCACTTCACTCAGCAGGCTCTGTGTCAATCCAAATTCAGACTCAACAGCAAAAGAAGATAAAACCAACATCATTTACAAAATGAGCTGCAATGACTGCGAAAAACACTACATTGGCCAAATTGGACGTCCTTTTCGTTTTTAGGAAGATAAACTAGCCGTCAAAAGATATGATATCCACTTCCTCTGTCGTATTACCTCATTGCATTTGGACAACCACGGAGATCAAATCGACTGGGACCACGTTGAAATATTAGGAGAAGGAAACACCAAGAACACTGAAGAATTCTTGGAAGCCTGCCCGGTGTTCATCTGAGAATCGTCAATTAACAGCCACATTGACATACATAAAATTTATCGATCCATACCATGAGAGAGAAATCTTGCGCATAAAAAGGTCACACTTCAGGTCAAGGAAAGGGTCAATACCGAGACAAGTAGACTAGAGTATGTGAAGACAGACAAGTGGAATCAAAGTGCCTCGTTCAAGGTGCTCGATCAGGAACGATGACTAACAAGGGCGTAGAGAAATCTAGAAACGCACTTCAATCCAAACAGGGGTGTGCGCTGATGATGTTGTCTAGTGTGGCAAACGAGATCGGCTTATGAAAATTAATCGTCAAAAAGAAAATTTTCTTCGCGGTTTACTTTTTTTATTCCTTGCATTAATTTTCAAAGAGTGGGACTAAATAATGAAATGTATTCATATATATATATATGCTTTACGCTATACTAGTAATATTTGAGTAAGTTGAGGTTCAGTAGCCTGCTTTGTGAAGACTTTTTTTAGTGGTTATCCCAGTTCTGATGTTTGATCATATTATGTTCATCACTAGTGCCTCAGCAGTATAGGGGTTAGGATGCTCGCCGACCATGCACATGGTCCGGGGTTTGATTCCCGGCCGACGCATTCATTTACCTGGCTGAGCCAGAAATAATTCTGGTAAAGAGGAAAGGTTGGGCATAAGGCTAGCATCCCCATCCTGTAAAATAAACACTGCTATAGAATCTTCAGGTCACTAGCTTGAAGCCCTATGTTCTACTAGGGAATGTGAAGGAAAAAAATGTTCATCATCAGGTGTACTAATGACCTCAGTAACAACTCTTAATTAGACATTGAAATTAACAGACGACAGTACTGGAGACGCAATAGTACCGTGTGTTGTGACGTATTCCCAAAAAATCTCGATGTTGGGGGAACACCAAAAAGAATTGCTTTACTTATTTCTGATAAACTTTCCCACTAATATAATTAATATTTTATCAGGTCAACAGATGTCTTTTGTAAAACAGATAGTTGCGATAGTTTGTTACACCTTAAGCACCTAAAAATGATAGGTAACTAAGAAAATCTATTGGTAAGACAAGACGTTCTGTGGAGAGTTACTCCTTTTCTCGACGATATCTCCTTGTCAAGCTGTACAATAGCATTTATATAAAGAAGTGAATCGTCTTAGCAACAAAAGGAATATTTCCAAAGATGTGTCACCTTAGAATTGTAAATTGTTTTCGATAACAAATTAAGAAACTAAAGTAAAAGTCACGTCGGCGGTACCCAGCGTTTGCTATCCAAAGGTGTATCATCGAACACTTACCGCCACAGTCATGGTCCTATAAAGGCGAAAATCGGTCCCCCGCAAAGCCCTATTCTGGAGCACCTGATTGAATCAAGACACCAAGCTAACCCACCTACAAAGTAACTTCAAAGCCACGTACAGATTACGTGAGAATCTTGCTAAACGAGTAGAGAATCAAACTTCTTCAAATCCCGCAGAAGCAATGGCAATTCCTCACATGTTAAATCCTGAACTCTGCATACAAAAGAAGAAGAAGTATGTTCAATCACTGAAAACGTTTACAGTGGACCTAACCTATCTTAACATCAAATATGTAGTCTTTGTTTCTTATTTGTATGATATTCCCTCTTTTCCCCACCCCACCTCTTATTAAATCTCTATCCCTTATTACCACCGCTGTTGTTAACTTGACTCTCGCTCAAATTCTAGTTGATTTGTACCCAACTCCATCAATAATTATACTACGTCACTCAACTTATTTGATTTGATTTTAGTTTCTACCCGATTAACGCTTTTTAGAGTGAGTAATTTGTTCCTAAGGTAATTTCACTATGCATATATTTATGCGATTGTATAGCTTGAGAAAGAGATATCGCCGAAAAGAGGAGTAACTCTTTTCGCTGAACGCCTTTCCTTATGTAACTCCCATGTTACCAGAAACAAAAATCATTCATTTGTTGTCTTAACAACAAAACGAATATTTTCAAAGATGTTTCATTACGATCATGAAATGTTTTAGATACCTAACCGCAAAATATAAAATGCGTTAATCGGGTAGAGACTAAAATAAAATAAAATAAATCAGTTGAGTGGAGCAATACAATGGACGGGAGTGACAAAAATTCAACTGGAATTTGAAGGAGAGTCAAGTTAACAACAGTGGTGGTAATAAGGGGTATACTTTTAATAGGGAGTAAGGGGAGAAAATAATACATACAGTACAGTGATAATACTAAAATTATATATTGGGTGTTAAGGCAAATTAGGACCATCGTAGATTTAATGAACGAACATGTAACGACAGAAGACATGGGCCAGGCAACAGCGCGTTTATTGAGAAAATTAACGGATATTTATAGATTTTTATGTACATTATTGTTAGTGCTGTTGCTAGCAGAGAAGCAACGTCTTCTGATTGGTCATTTTTCTGCTGAAGGTTACTCTGTTATCTCTTTGTGGCCGTTTCTTACAACGTTAAGCCATATATGTGCGAATGCAATTCAAACACGTAAAGTCTACTGTGACTGGTTGTTGAGTTTCTCAAAGTCAGTCTTTGTTCTCGTCTTTTCTCATGACCTCGATTTGAGACGTAGACATTGACGTCGATTGTTGTCTACAATTTTGTCTAACAGACAGCTCTCACCGCAAACATACTTCTTCTTCGGCATGCACAATTCAGGATTTAATATGTGATGAGTCACCATTACTTCTGTGGGGTTTGAAGAAGTTTAATTCGTACTCCTTTAGCGAAACTCCTACATATCTCTTGGATAACTTTGAAGTTGATTTGTGGGTCGGTTAACTTGGTGTCCAGATTAGATCAGGTGTTCCATGATCGAGGTAGGCCGGTGTGGGGATCTTTTATCTCCTAAATAAAAAACCATGACTTTAGCTAACTGATCGATGATACGTTTGGATAGCAAACGCTAAGTACGGCCAACATACCTAGCGTCACAGGTAAAGCGGGTGAATTGGTAGATGCACACTCATGATGTCAGCCAAGAGTGTTAGCTTATCCTTCACGTTAGTGCGAATCACTGTTTTCATAGAGAAAGTTATTCATAGTTCAGCCGTGAAGAAGATTTACTTCAGTGATCAGGACAGGCGGTTTCTCAACACCTTTGCTGACGTGCCTCTGTTGAGTTTTAGACTCAGGTAGAGACATTTGGGGGAGGGGGAGAAAGTGTGGGCGGTTTAAGTAGTTTAAGTTTCATGGATTACGTGATGAAATGTTCTGGGTAGGCATTTTCCAGGAGGATTTTTTTCAAAGTGGTAAACCTGCAAATTCTGAGGATTCTTTGGCTCAGGGACAATAGCGCTTGTGAATTGGTGACAACAGCGAGCAGTACTTTTCGTCTTTAAAATACACATCTTCACAGTTTACAGATATAGACGTAATTCAACCAGGCTACATGAAAACAGCATCACTTTTCTTGAAATAAAATGTAGAGCTGTGGATAATTTTCATGAAAAGCACTTACAACAGGGCACATTTCTACAGACAGAATCCAACGTATTCTGAAGTTTTCTGACAGAAAATCCAGTAAATTTCGATTGGTTTCATGAACTGATATTAACTGAAAAGTTATTGAGGTCTAGGGAGTCCCGGTGGCACAGCGGTATAGTGCTCGCCGACCACGCAGGCAGTCCGGAGTTCCATACCTGGCCACTGACTCACTCCTTTACCTCACTAAGCCAGTAATAAATAAAGCTGGTAAAGAGGGGAGGTTGGGTATGAGGCTAGCAACCCCACCCTGTAAAAAATAATCACCACTACTACAGAAACTTCAAGCCTCTAGCTTAAAGGTGCCCTATGTTCCACTGGGAACGTAAAGGAATAAAAAAGGGAGTACCAGACAGCTGTATTTTTTCTTCTTTGGGAGTTTTCAGCCCTACGCACCCATGACTACACCAAGAGTTGTAGCGTGAAGATCATAGATGCGTTCTGATGAAGAGAGTTTTGCAATAACGCAATACAACACCTTCCAGCACTCTGTGGTTTTCAGTCATTTTGCAACTGTGATCAATTTGTAATCAATCAGTCAATAAATAAATTCCTACGTTACTCCACTCTACTTTTTTTCTCTATCTTAGATCCTGATAAACTATCCTCGCTGGCTCGTCATTGGATTGCCGGTCTCCTGGAGCATTTACCAGCGTTGACGGCAATTTCTTGTCCAACTGTCAACTGTTACCGAAGACTTCACAGGCATTTAGCTCCGTCAGTTGTCAACTGGGATCTCTACGACAGATTTGTGGCTATACGTGTGAAAAATACTGATGAGAAACGAACATTTATAGAGAATCGTGTCCCATCTTCCGCTGCTTGTTCTTATCTTGTAATGGCTGCTACATTGGCAGCTGGACTGGATGGTTTAGAAAGAAAACTACAACCTCCGCCAACAGGTGTAAAACCTGGCCAAGGTGGTTATACTGAGAAGGATGTGAAATTACTGCCTGTTACACTACAAGAGGCCTTGAAAATGCTTAAAGAAGACCAAATATTTGTGAGTAAATTAGGCGTTGATTTAGTCGACTGGTTTATTCAAGTTAAAGAACGCGGTGATTTATACAGTCTAGGCGATATGAATATAAAAGATAATCGGGAAGAAACACTGGCATATGAAAGATATGAATACTTTGATTTTACTTAATAACACATTCTGATCAAGCGTACAGAACAAGTAAGCGCTGTGCAGTGTGTTGTTTGTGTGTGTGTGTGTTTTGACAAATTCTTGATTACTAATCAACACATTGGATTTTTGAAAAAAATAAAAGAAAACCTTCTCATCTTAATTAATTGTCGATGTAATACACATATCATTTTAACATTGTCTGTTTTAAGTCATATATTCTCACACTTTCTGTTTTGTGCGTTAACTGTGTCACCACACCTCACTGACTTTTTCATCTTTCGTGTTGATTTTAACAGAATTTTTGAGATTTCTATAAAACGACAATGATAATAATAACAATAATGATTATATACAAACTAATTAATATAATTAAAACAATTAGTCCTTTTGATAAATTTGAATAAGGCATTTAGAAGATAAATTTCGCCGCCAGATGATATCATTATTTCGTAGTCTCTTAACAACCGCTTTATAGCTAGCATGGTTAACAATAAGAAAATAAAGGTCATGACAATGACTCGGTTAGATAAAAAAAAACAACAACAAAAGTACATACTGATGACCAATCTAATTTAGATAGGTCATGTTGTCCATAGTAGGCGAAGATTGAAGTCTATCGGTTTTTGTACACACACAGTTTAACCTGTGTGTGATTAATCCATCAAAGTGCTTCCATCACCTTCAATAACCAACCTTGAATTAGAGTTATGTGATGAAATAATTGTGAAACAGTCATTCATATTGATTTTGTGACTTGACATTAATAAATGCTTTGCAATGGATGATGATGACGGATTTCTGTTCAGATTAATCGCATTGGGGTAGCCATTTTGTAACATGTTCTTTTCGACGACATTGCAACATTCTGTTGGTTCTACCTATATGAGTGTAACCGCAGCTGCAGGTGAACTTGTAGATACAGTTTGAAGTAGAGTACACAGAATTTCGTCGTTTAATCGAAGGCATGCGGATCGACAATGTTCAGCAAGTGAGAAAAAGAGATGTGGCGGCGTAGAATGTGCGTTCGATGGCTGACAGAAGTCTTTGAGCTAGCTGTCAACTGCATAATCTGCTCGCCCTTGATAAAAGATAAGTTCTTTGACTTTTAGTTTCAATTTTTCCAAAACTCAGGGAAGATAATGTTAACCTGTTTGTAAGACTTGGAAGAAACTGTTGCCCACATTCAAATTCATCTGACTTTTGAATAGTACACTGTGGAGGCGGATTCACAGTTCTGCTTTAACATTTGAAAATCAGTGACTAGGAAGATAAGTAAATGAGTGAGTGACTGCGTGCCTGTAGAATCCTTGAATCCTTGATTCTCGAGCAGGCTAGGATTAGTTAAGTGGACATTTAAACCAACCCACCAACCAACCAGCCAACTGTTGCCGAGATAAACTTTGTCGGCTTAAGCACCCAATATAGATCCAATTAAGAAAAAGTAATATAATTTATCAAATACCCTGTAGTGCTAACTGTGAGGTCAGCTATATAGGAAAGTGAAACTAGTAGATTGGCGTCGATTAGATTACTGGAACATACAAATTTGTCTAGACCTAGAATGTGATTGACCCTGTCAAGTCAAGTAACCTAGAAAAAAAGCTCAGCTGATGCCCTGCATTCACTTACTTGGAATCACAGAATAGGTGGAGCAAGAGATACAGGGGTTATTCACTGAAACTTTGTTTATCGATTCAATACCGCACACGTGCAGCAATCGGAATGACGTAACGCCGCCGCCTATCCAGGAGATATGGAAAATGGTGACAAACAACATGGGGAAGTAGGAGAGATAGAAAAGAGAGGGGGAAATTTACGTATAAGACAGATTGTAAAAGTCGTGTGTGAATAAAATTGATTGATGATTATGAGTGGAAATAATTTATGCTCGAAACCTTGTCTGGCATCCAGTTGTTAATACTCCATCATTACTGTGTGTGACTTTTAATATAAACCTATCTCACATAGTATCCTCGAAAGTTTATACACACAAAGAGAAGAAGTGACAATAGGTGTGAAAACTTAGCAATCGAAACATTCAGCTGGTTACAGTGAAGGTATGCTGATGACACATTCAATATACTTAGAACACAGGGTATAAATAGATTTTCCTAGCAAATCAATTCGAAGATAAACGAAACTAAGTTCACTTATGAGTTGGAAAGTCAAGAAGGGGAGCTTCAGATGTTAGCTTATAACGTGAAAAGGAAAGAAGATGAGAAGTGTTTGAAGAAGACCCACACACTAAAATCGATATTCGAATTTCCCATCATCTTACCATATGTCAATAAAATTAGGATTGGTGAAATGTTTAAGTGACAATAAGGCTTAAAAACTGAGTAGGTAGTAAGGAAAATCTAAAGAGGCAAGTAAAGCATATAAGATAGCCCTTGAAACTTAATTAACAATTACGCCGGTAATTTAATCTGGAAGTGTGTAGGAAAATGTAAAAATAAAATTATTAATCACGGTAGTGATAAAGATGGTAATAATCGAAATAGTAGTATTAATGACGACATGCATGTCAAACATGCGTAGAATAATGACAACATCAACAGTAGGGAATATAAACCATCAGTAGTACGTGCTTCCATGCAAAGAAGGAACCTCGAAAATATAACAGCGGTGAATCCTTAACAATGAATGAAAGTGTCTGGTATTCAAACCATTCAAAAGATGAACTAGAACCAAGCTTTGTCTAGTAGAGGAACCTGCCTATGGAGACCATTAAATACAGAAATTCAGTTTATCTAATAGTTTGCTGTTATGATTATGTGTCAGGTGAAAGTAATAGAACGGGGTGAGTTAGTCAGTTGGACTAGTGGAGCATTCCAGATACCTAGATTAGTTGACCCAAAGATATGATAAGTAATGTGGAGAATAGTTCAGCTATACCACTCAGTACATGCAATTACACAGAACCATACAATATACAGGAGAAAGTGGAGATGGATCAGACACTCGCTGAGGAGACCGCTGGGTGACATCGCGCGTCAAGCCCTCGAGTGAAAACCGAAAGGGAAGCGGCGAGTAGGACGTCAGTGCAAGGGTGACATGGAGGAGATCGTGTGAAGAGGAGTTGAAAGAGTATGGACTGACATGGATGCAGGTGAAAAGTACAGCAGAAGACAGAAACAAATGGAGACGTGCAGCTGAAGCCCTATGTTCCACTAGGAACCCAAGGGAGCAATAATAATAACAATAATAAAATCACTTCTGAGTAATTACTGTTTCCTGGATGACGAAGTCTCCGACACAGTTAATTTCTTTTATTCTTCATTTTCATATCATCAATTATAACCACACCACTTCAAAACTTTCACTTTATGGTTTTCTTCGAGTAAGGGAGGTAGTAGAAGCTTCCAGATGCTTACTGCACTTATTCCCTGTCAGCTGATTTGATAAACAAAGCCTCAACCGGTTATCGATCTATCCCTCCCTCCCCAACTCCTCCCTGTCACATTACCTTTTAAAACTCATCTTATCCCCCCATCCTGTATATTGTATTATTATTATTCCTCATCATTTGCTTACCACTTGTGATTTCGTTTAATAACTTCCACATATTTGATGGGGATTTACATGAGAGACATGTTTAATTCCCCATATCGTGAAATAATAAAATGATTGATGAACCCATAGAGCCTCTGAATAACGAATTGGTAAAGCATAAGGCAGACGCTAGTTTTGAATTTGTCGAAACAAATAAGCCATCTAAATATGAACTATAAGTTTATGATATCTTTTGATGTATTTTCCTTGTTCACCAATGTACCCGTTAATGGAGACAGTGGATTTTATACGTGATTAGATTACTACACGAAACATAGACATCGGGATTTCTGTATCTTCCATGAAGAAGGAACTTATTTTAAGATGTACAATAAATGTTCATTTCCTTATTCAATAAAGAATACTATAGACAAAAACTGATGGTGTAGCTACAGGTTCCCCATCAGATCCAATCCTAGCTGAATTTTTTCCTCGCTAAGTTAGAGAATGGATTATTGAAAGGAGTAATTAATGACTTGGATTTCTACTGTCGATATACAGATGATACGCTTCCGGTTATGAAAGCAAGAATGATGCAATGAACATCCTTGACGAGTTTAATGATGCGTATTCAGAAATAAACTTCACCATATACAAAGAAAATAATGACAATATCTCATTTCCAGACGTCTTATTGGAATGGAAAGAAGATAGCACATTGAGAAGAAGTGTGTATAGGAAACCTACAACAACAACAACAGGTCAGTACACTCATTTTTCGAGGCTCACACCTTTGAAATATAGACGTCACTTCGTAAAGCGTCTGGTGCATGCAGCCAAGATAATCTGTTCAGACGACTCCCTCGATGAGAGGAGATTAAGATTATTAGAGAATTACTTACTAAAAATGGTTATCCAGATATGTTCATTGAGAAAAATTGTGCATTAAGCACAAAATCAAAGCCAGTAGTGCAATAGGTGCAAAAAATCATTGTTCATAAAACTAACGTTCCTCGGTGACAACATCAGCGAAACAGTAACACAACGAGCACATGAAGAATGCAGTGAAAAGCGCCTTCGATACAGCAGAGGTGGTACTTTGTCTGTTCACTACCAACCCTATTTTACGTTCGAGAAATAAGGATAAACTGCCTAATTTTGCCTCCTCTATGTGCATCCACCAGTTTGACTGCAGCTGTGGAGTATAAGATTAGGCAGATTCATCATCGTATTTCTGAACAAAATGGTTAAGCAAGGGCTGAACAAGTTCTATTGGTAGCTCTATTTTAGCACGCCTTGTACAAAGTGAGTATAAAGTAAACGTTAATATATCATTCAGAGTTATTTATCTCATTCCCACTAATCTCAAGTTTGCCTTACGAGTTTGTCTTCCGCATACAGCTGAATCCATAAAAATCCACCTGAAGAAGCCAAATCTGTACAGCCAATTTCCTTATCTTGGCCATTGTTACATGAATGTATAAACCGGACTACTTCGCCCCTTCCCTAAAATAATATTTATTCAT